TTAATTCATATGATGTAGAAATAACAAAGCTAATTACGTAATCAATTTTATGCTAACTTTTTGCTTTCTATAAGTGAATAAAGTATTTTTTAATATTAAAAAAATTATATCAATAGAGTAAAAATGGGTTTAAATAGACTTGGCCAAATATTACAGGATGGAAAGGGGAAATGCTGTTGAAAACTTCCTAAAGAACAGCAAAGAAATTAAAGACTAAACTTATTTAAAAAATAAAATGATGAAATTGGAGCTAGAGCCAAGAATTTTTTAAAGAATATATCTTTGGCTCTGACTCTGTCTTCAAAACCTTGGTCATTAGTTTGGGAAAATCCCAAAATGATTTTAATAAGTGGATTCTACTGTATTTGTAAATTTTTATGTTTGTTGCAATTAAAGTTTATTGATTTTATTTTCTGTTTCGTTTACTGGACAATTATGTATTGATATATTAAAACAGTAATGATGCAAAAATTCTAAAACACGAAAATAAATTGTGATTATTAACCAAGTAATGCAAAAATATTGCTGTTCCTGACATTTTTTAGACTCCTGTCTTGGGACTAAATCGTTGAAATGCATTTCTCTTAATTGGACTTTAAAACTAAACTTGTGTGTGTGTTTACTAATGTATTGCACATTCGTGAGTCTTAATGTGTGCTGTAAGCATTTTCATGAATTACATAAAAATGATTTTTCTGCATTTGCCAAATTTAAATTTAACAATGTACAATAGAGCATCGATTATCCGACCCCCGATTAACTGTCACCTCAGTTAACCGACTGCGTTCTAGTCGGCAAATTCAAATGTCTGCTAGTGATGTGGAGCTACAATATTTGGCTATAGCTTGGCTACTTTAATATTATTTTTGTTAAATTTTTGCGTGTTTTAGCTGGCAATACTGGCTTGACCATAAGGGGAGGCCAGTATCTAAACGAGGCTTAATTTTCTAATTATGAGTGGTGGTTTGTTTTGTGAGCAATAAAATAATTTAAAAATAATTTTAACGATACAATAGCGACGACTATTACTTAAAAAAAAATTTTGTTAGGATTACTGTCGATGAAAATTCAACGCGGAGTTGGTTAATAGCGATATACTACACTATAATATACTACACTAATAATGTGTTTTTTTATACTTTTCGGTTATCCAACTTTTCAATTATCTGACCAACCCCAGTCCTTAATTGAGTCAGATGATCGATGCTCTACTGTAATAATAATGTAAACAAATATCTTAAATTTATTTTATAAATATCTAAAGAAAATATAAGTAGCTCATATGACATTTTTGTCTGTGTTGCATTTCCAAGTACAGCCAATCCAATCCTAATGACATTTTTAAGTATTTGCAAGTAGATATCACAAAATTAAATGTTATATGCATCAACTTTATAACATGTTGCCAGATTTCTTTCAATTTAGTATACAGTGGAACCTTGCTTAACAAGCACCTTGCATAACAAGCAAAACAAATTGTAATTTGTTTTGCTTGTAAAAAAATTGTAAAAAAATGACTCGCTTAACAAGCAACGTTTTGCATAACAAGTGACGAGGAGAGGGAAATCCCAGATTGTGTGCATGCTCCATCAGTCTGTGTTTAGCACTGTTCCACTAGCAACTTAGTGTTGCTTGTGATCAAACGTTTTTCCAAACTTGTGTTCACACACATTACATATAAGCATCGACAACCATCGCCCGTTATATAATAAACACGCCAAACGATATATCAAATTCTTGGGCTGTGTAAAGACTATAATTAAATATTAGAAATTAATTAATTTGACTAGAGGTAGGCAGTTATGCTGCCATCTGGTATTAAATTTATTGATCAGATTCAAATTAAATTTTAAAAATGTCTAAATTAAAAATTAATTGTTTATAATTTTTAAATTTGATACGAGATGATAGCATAACTTCCTTCCTCTAGTCAAATAAATAATTTCTAATATTTAATTATAGCCTTTACACAGCCCAAGAATTTGGCATATTGTTTTGCATGTTTATCAAACATATTACCCGTGATTTTTTTTTCCTGCAAATCAAATTCACATTCCAGGTGGTTCATTCCACGCTATAAGAAAAGATGATAATGATTCATGCTCCTTAACAATGTATATTGTATAATTTTCTTTAAATAAACGTTATACATAAAATATTTGAGTATTTTTTGTGGCATGGAACACATTATCATATTTTACATTAATTTATATGGGAAAAACTGTTTTGCTTAACGAGTAAGATTCTGGAATGAATTATGCTTGTTAAGCGAGGTACCTCTGTATAGTTTAATGAAATAAAACACAATTTTTATGTGTGTCTTTGTTTGTGACATAGATCGACTGTGGCTACTTTTCGTTACGAACAAGAATTGAAAAAGAATGAAGGTCTGATGATGTCTCAATCCAACATTCAAACAAGTAATTTTTGAGGAGTTTTATTTATAACTTGAAAAAAATTATATTAGTATTTTTTAAGAAAATGATTATTTTAAATTTAGAAGATAAAGTAGAGAATGCCGGAGTATTTTTTAATATTAAAAAAATTATATCAATAGAGTAAAAATGGGTTTAAATAGACTTGGCCAAATATTACAGGATGGAAAGGGGAAATGCTGTTGAAAACTTCCTAAAGAACAGCAAAGAAATTAAAGACTAAACTTATTTAAAAAATAAAATGATGAAATTGGAGCTAGAGCCAAGAATTTTTTAAAGAATATATCTTTGGCTCTGACTCTGTCTTCAAAACCTTGGTCATTAGTTTGGGAAAATCCCAAAATGATTTTAATAAGTGGATTCTACTGTATTTGTAAATTTTTATGTTTGTTGCAATTAAAGTTTATTGATTTTATTTTCTGTTTCGTTTACTGGACAATTATGTATTGATATATTAAAACAGTAATGATGCAAAAATTCTAAAACACGAAAATAAATTGTGATTATTAACCAAGTAATGCAAAAATATTGCTGTTCCTGACATTTTTTAGACTCCTGTCTTGGGACTAAATCGTTGAAATGCATTTCTCTTAATTGGACTTTAAAACTAAACTTGTGTGTGTGTTTACTAATGTATTGCACATTCGTGAGTCTTAATGTGTGCTGTAAGCATTTTCATGAATTACATAAAAATGATTTTTCTGCATTTGCCAAATTTAAATTTAACAATGTACAATAGAGCATTGATTATCCGACCCCCGATTAACTGTCACCTCAGTTAACCGACTGCGTTCTAGTCGGCAAATTCAAATGTCTGCTAGTGATGTGGAGCTACAATATTTGGCTATAGCTTGGCTACTTTAATATTATTTTTGTTAAATTTTTGCGTGTTTTAGCTGGCAATACTGGCTTGACCATAAGGGGAGGCCAGTATCTAAACGAGGCTTAATTTTCTAATTATGAGTGGTGGTTTGTTTTGTGAGCAATAAAATAATTTAAAAATAATTTTAACGATACAATAGCGACGACTATTACTTAAAAAAAAATTTTGTTAGGATTACTGTCGATGAAAATTCAACGCGGAGTTGGTTAATAGCGATATACTACACTATAATATACTACACTAATAATGTGTTTTTTTATACTTTTCGGTTATCCAACTTTTCAATTATCTGACCAACCCCAGTCCCCAATTGAGTCAGATGATCGATGCTCTACTGTAATAATAATGTAAACAAATATCTTAAATTTATTTTATAAATATCTAAAGAAAATATAAGTAGCTCATATGACATTTTTGTCTGTGTTGCATTTCCAAGTACAGCCAATCCAATCCTAATGACATTTTTAAGTATTTGCAAGTAGATATCACAAAATTAAATGTTATATGCATCAACTTTATAACATGTTGCCAGATTTCTTTCAATTTAGTATACAGTGGAACCTTGCTTAACAAGCACCTTGCATAACAAGCAAAACAAATTGTAATTTGTTTTGCTTGTAAAAAAATTGTAAAAAAATGACTCGCTTAACAAGCAACGTTTTGCATAACAAGTGACGAGGAGAGGGAAATCCCAGATTGTGTGCATGCTCCATCAGTCTGTGTTTAGCACTTGTTCCACTAGCAACTTAGTGTTGCTTGTGATCAAACGTTTTTCCAAACTTGTGTTCACACACATTACATATAAGCATCGACAACCATCGCCCGTTATATAATAAACACGCCAAACGATATATCAAATTCTTGGGCTGTGTAAAGACTATAATTAAATATTAGAAATTAATTAATTTGACTAGAGGTAGGCAGTTATGCTGCCATCTGGTATTAAATTTATTGATCAGATTCAAATTAAATTTTAAAAATGTCTAAATTAAAAATTAATTGTTTATAATTTTTAAATTTGATACGAGATGATAGCATAACTTCCTTCCTCTAGTCAAATAAATAATTTCTAATATTTAATTATAGCCTTTACACAGCCCAAGAATTTGGCATATTGTTTTGCATGTTTATCAAACATATTACCCGTGATTTTTTTTTCCTTGCAAATCAANTAACTCTGTGTATTATTTCTTTACTATACTGCTCCATATCATACGTATGATCCATAAACAGTTTAATAGAAAATCCATATTTATTTACTATCTTTGATAACTGAACTAAAATTAATATTAAAAATTAAATTAATAAATTAATTTTTAGAGTTAAACTCAAATCAATTGAAATACAATATTTCAGAAAATGTGAATAAAGTTCGTTGTTTATCTTGATTGATTTGGTTACACTGTGTTTCATCCAAGTAGAGTTGAGTCGAACACACACACACACACACATTATATATATACATAGATAATTATATTGCTGTTATAGGCTTTTTATGCATGAAATTCAGCTAAAAAGATAAAAATAAAAATAAGGTTTTGTTTTGGGGTTGGGAATGCGTTAATCCACTTTATATTGTATGTTATGGAAAAATTTGTTTTGGTTTTCAAATTTTGAAACCCAAGGTTCAACTGTATATATATTTATTTATTTATTTTGTAATAATTTTATTAGTTTTACAGATTATCAGAGTATGATGTTGTGATTGTCACGTATGATACACTTTGCAGTGAAATTAAAGAAAATAAAGCAAAAAATAAGAGTGCATCACCTAGAAGTAAGGTAATAGTTATTGTTGTCTGTATTTTGTTTATTTTGTATTTATTCCAATGCCTTTAATATATCTCGAAAATAAATTTCAGAAAGTACAAGAAAAGTCTCCTATCTTGTGTATAAAATGGGAGAGAATAATTCTGGACGAAGCTCATAGAATCAAAAACTATAAAACGAGAACGGCCCAAGCCATTTGCACGTTGAATGCCAAATATCGCTGGGCAGTTACCGGCACTCCCATTCATAACAATCTATTCGACCTTTATTCTTTAATGAAGTAAGATTTTTACTGTTGCATTTTATATGATACAATTTTGTGCATTTAAAAATTCAGTTTGTACACAACAAGCAAAAGAAGTCTTATCTTACTTCTTTCTTAATTTGTAAACCAAAATTTTCTGGTACAGTATTCTATTCCGAATTTCAGTTGTTTGGGCTTGCAATAAATAAATTAACTATACAGGTATTTATAACATTATTTATTCACACTAGTATATATGCATTTCAAATCACTAAAATATAGTGATTTGAAATATATATATATAGTATTGTGTTATATATTTTGTTATATTATTATGTTACAATGGAACCTCGCTTAACAAGCAAAATAAATTGTAAAAAAATGACTCGCTTAACAATCAATGTTTAGCATAACAAGTGACGGGGAGAGGGGAAATCCCAGATTGTGTGCATGCTACTTCAGTCTCTGTTTAGCACTCATTCCACTAGCATAGCACACGTATTACATATAAACATCATTAACATATCCCGTCTTATAATAAACACACCAAACAATATTCCAAATTGTTTGGCTATGTAAAAGCTATAAATAAATATTAGAAATTAATTAATTTGACTAGAAGTAGGCAGTTATGCTGCCATCTTGCATTAAATTTAATAACCAATTCCAAATTAAATTTCCATTTTTCTTGTTTTCTGCAAATCAAATTCACATTCCAGGTTTGTTCATTCCATGCTAGAAGAAAAAATGATGATGATTCATACTCCTTAACAATGTATATTGTATAATTTTCTTTGAATAAATGTTATACATAAAATATCTGAGTATTTTTTTGGCATGGAGCACATTATCATGTTTTAGATTAATTTATATGGGAAAACTGTTTCGCTTAACAAGTGTTTTGTATTACGAGTAAGATTCTGGAACGGATTATGCTCGTTAAGTGAGATTCCACTGTATATACTTTGGTTTATGAATCAAGAAAGAAGTAACTTATACTTTGAATCCTGGTAAAATAGTTAATGGAATTAAAGGAAGTCTTGTTTTTACACACAGTCACAATTTTTTATAAATAATATTATTAATAGTAGTATCAAAACATCAAGAAAATAAACAGCTATTTCAAAAATTTTATATGTAATTGGCTCAATGTCTGCAATAAAATATTGCTCTATTGATGGAATTATCAATAAATGATTTCTGCAATCTTAATATATTTATTAATCAATCTTTATTTATTGTTTTAGTTAATTACTTGTTTTAGTATTTATATTTAATTAGAGGGCTTTACCCATAGGCTTTAACTCCTTATTCCCAGTACAGGCTATTCATAATAAAAATTTCGTGACAATTCACTTTTTCTCGGTGCCACCATTTCTATTTTATTATTATTATGTTGTGAATTTCATGCTCGGCTGATATTGGTTTCAAGTGTTATGCTCGACTAAAAGTAAGGCATAGCTACCCAAACAGGTGTTACATTAAGCTTCTGTGTCATTGGTATGTGTCAACATCTAGAAACTTTCTAACAATGTGACGTGTTCAATATTGCAGCTTTCTGTAGTGCCATGTATATGTTTTTATTAAGGTTTAATGTTTCTATACTTTTGTGTAGTGTCTGCAGTATAACACCAGTAGAAGAGAGGACAACAAGTACAATAAACACCTTATCTATCTTTCACATACTCCTTATTTTTTTAGTGAGTGGAGTATACTTGCTGATTTTTCTAGTGTGAGCATTTTTTATGTTATGAGTGTTATGGAATGGAAATGTCTATTATATAAGTGATCGTACTGCTTTTGTCAATGAAATTGATGTCAGGTTTATTGTTATGAATTGTTATATCTGTGATTATGGTTTTGTCATAATATATTTTGTGTGTGTCATTTTCTAATACTGCGTAGGTGTTTAATAATCTGTGTTTTAGTACAAGCTCTTGGTGTATATTTGCTATTTGATTATGCCTATGTAAGTAGTCTGTTTGTGCTAAGAGCTTGCAACCAGAGGTTATGTTATATTGTTTATGGCAGAATGTGGCATTTTCTTCAAGAGTCATTTGTGAGTGATGTATCCTTCTGGATGTGTTTTCTGTAGTTTTTAGTGTTTATGACCTGATCTTGAATGGCAACCATAAATCTCTTAGTCTGTTCAAACAGGCAGCCCCTAGTCAGCCAGAAGTTTGGTGCAGTTTTGTCAATGTACTCTTTACACGGAAGGGTTAATCTTTCTATGGCAGATTTAGAATAATGTTGTGTATGCTTAGTGTTTTTTGTTTTCCTTTGGAGTTGCTCAAGATCTGTGTGAGTCCAATGCATAACTCAAAGAATAAGTGAGTACTGGGATAACATGTGTTCATTGCTTTAATAGTGTTCTGAGAATAGTGTTTAACCTACTTTGGTATTTTTTAATTAATCTTTGCTTTATTATATTATTGTGAGACTACGGGGGTAGTTACGATGTTACTCTTAACAATAGCAAAAAGGATTTAATGAGTAAAATAAAACAGTTACATAAATCAAGCCTGTCTAGATTATACCTCTAAATGTGAGAGAGAGAGTTTACAATCAGTAAAAATATTGATAATACCTCTGTCGATCAAACTTGGAGAATGCGAGATGAATTGCTGGAGAGTTGGAGCGGGACTATCTTCTTCATATTAATTGATATGGCAGGGTCCGATTCTGGTAGACTGCCTGTTGTTTCTAGCGCCTTCTTAATATGGAAGACTACGTGTAGATTATGGCAAGTTCCTTTCGTCATGGACTGCCATCTAATATGGCTATATGAGATGGCAGGTTTCAGGACGTTGCCATATTAAATCACATCAGGTTTCTATTGACTGTTCCGAACTTGTGAATTTTTTCCTTATTTATTCTCGGTTCCCACCAATCAGATTGTACTGGACACACACCTGAATCTGATGCAAGAGAAGATATTCATCAGATAAATTAGATAAGAACTTTCTATGGGAAGTTTTACTTTTCTTTCCCACACAAAACAATGATTTTTGGTCTATTTGATAGCTGAAATATTACATAGAGATTATTTATCAAGTGAGAAAATCTAAGAATGTGATAAACTGAATAAATTTTCGAATAAATAGCTCTCTACTCTCACATTCTCACATTATCATTATTGTTACAGAAAAACATTTTTGAGACTTTTAAGCTAATTATTTCATATATATAGGATAGATTAGTATTATAATTTTATTTTTATCAAATTAATTTTTTTGAAAACTTTTACTTTTTGTTTACAGATTTCTTCATTTCTTTCCTTTTGATGAATTGAAATTATGGAAAAAATACATAGAAATAAATACAGGTAGAATAAGTAATTTTAAAACTTTTAATTTTTGTGTAGTCTGAATATTTGCATTAATTTTATTTTAAAAATTAACATAATTTGTAGATTAAAATAATTTTAACTTGTTTATTTGATCATTTTAACCATTATTACAAAATGGTGTAATTTTTGTTATTAAACATTCCAAAACAATCAAAATATTTAATAAATTTACTTGTATAAATGAAGTAAATAAATTTTTTTTAAACACAATGCATATATTTACATTACAGATACTTTTGGTAATCTCTTTAAAGTTTTGATGAATTTTATTCTCTTGAGACGTTTGAAAGATCAGACTGATGAGAAAGGAAATTGTTTGGTGAGTGTCAACTTTTGTACAAATATTATAGACATTAATTTTATGTAATTTATAAATGATAGACTTAAATATTATATGTCAAATGTAAGTAGATATTCTATGGTAGATGATATTTGTATAGATTAATCTACCTCCGAAAGAAATGATAACCATCAAACTACAGTTATCGGTCAAAGAGAGAAAAGTGTATGACAAATTTTTCAAGTTCTGTCAGTAAGTTTAGTTTTTATTTATTTTCCTTATTAATGCAAATGAAAATTATTTTACAAATAAAATGAGATATGATAAAAATGTGTAATGAAGAATTTTTGCAAAAATTACTACATAAGAACTTATATTACTTAGAAAAAAAGTATATATAAAAAAATTAATGAACTTTTTTGTAAAATAATTTCTTTAGTAGAATCTGTTATTATCATGGATGTTATAGGCCATTTAAAGTTATTAAAATTAATAAATGCCAAAATGTAAAAATTAAAATGTACTAAATAATGCTTCATTTATTGTGATTAAAGTTTGGATATTGTTACTATCCTTAAATACTTTTTTAAAGATTAAATTAAAAAAACCTTAAAAAAAAACTTTAATGCCTATGGGTGGAAATAGGAACAGGGTCCATACAGACCTGGAATGTCAAGGAATAAGATTTTTAGCAGAAAAACTCAAGGAATTGCATTAAAATTGCAAATACCACAGAATCCATCTGTTGCTCTTGCTTTTTTTTTTTTTTTTTTTATACGAATGTGTCTTTAAATTCGGTTCAGTATAGCAAGGTTTACGAAAACTGGAACGACCAAACAAATGGCAAGATTTGTCGTGCTTATATCTCATAATTGTAAATGATAGTCTAACGATTTAAATTTTCTTGGATAGAGAAGGTTTACGTCTGTTTTTTAAATGCTGGGTAGTGGGGTGTGCAGCTATGGGGGGGTTTGCGGTTGCATGTGAACACTGAAATTAGTGACACAGTGTGACTTTTGGGCAGTGAAAGTTTGGATGACAAAGAAATAGAGTGTCGAAACTGGTGTCAATTTGTACAGAATGACAGTATCTACAATATTATTTAGCAATAATAACCAATAAAATATAATTTGTAATGTTATAAGCTAATAGCTATGCATGTTGAAGAAAATTTCATCAACTCCAATGTGAATACTTCAAGTGTGCCACCACTTGAACCAATAGATATTGATTCGTGATAACTACTAAGACTTTATTCATTTACATCTTATCCTTTCTCTTATAACACAAAGACAGATTCAAACCTTAACTTTTTGCAGTCAGTTGATGCCATGGGGGAGGCAATTCCTGTATTTTTATTTGTTGTGTTCTTCGCTGCTGGCCACATGCAGTATGTGGAGATGATAATCCTGCTAATTTTGACAGATTGATATTCTGTTATATGTCTTCTCTCTAACTGCAAATTTCCATCTTCAGATGGTCTGCAGAATTTTGCAAGTATACCAAAATATCACCATAAACTTAGTCAGGTTTTCAAAAACACCATTGACAACAACCCATTTTCCTGCCAAAACTCTGCTTCTCTTATAAATATTGAGGCGGGATGGGAAGAAATGTATAATGACCTTGAATGTGTCCATGCTGGACCAAAAATAGCATGAGATAAGTGATTTCTCCCTCTTCGGGTATGCAATTCATTATGTTTAAATTATTTCGAATTTTCCACCTCCTCTCTTTAAGAAAGTTTGATTTTATGACATGATACAAATCTTTGTTTTATTTAAATAAAATTTATAAAAAATTTCATGATTTAATTTAAATTAATTCATATGATGTAGAAATAACAAAGCTAATTACGTAATCAATTTTATGCTAACTTTTTGCTTTCTATAAGTGAATAAAGTATTTTTTAATATTAAAAAAATTATATCAATAGAGTAAAAATGGGTTTAAATAGACTTGGCCAAATATTACAGGATGGAAAGGGGAAATGCTGTTGAAAACTTCCTAAAGAACAGCAAAGAAATTAAAGACTAAACTTATTTAAAAAATAAAATGATGAAATTGGAGCTAGAGCCAAGAATTTTTTAAAGAATATATCTTTGGCTCTGACTCTGTCTTCAAAACCTTGGTCATTAGTTTGGGAAAATCCCAAAATGATTTTAATAAGTGGATTCTACTGTATTTGTAAATTTTTATGTTTGTTGCAATTAAAGTTTATTGATTTTATTTTCTGTTTCGTTTACTGGACAATTATGTATTGATATATTAAAACAGTAATGATGCAAAAATTCTAAAACACGAAAATAAATTGTGATTATTAACCAAGTAATGCAAAAATATTGCTGTTCCTGACATTTTTTAGACTCCTGTCTTGGGACTAAATCGTTGAAATGCATTTCTCTTAATTGGACTTTAAAACTAAACTTGTGTGTGTGTTTACTAATGTATTGCACATTCGTGAGTCTTAATGTGTGCTGTAAGCATTTTCATGAATTACATAAAAATGATTTTTCTGCATTTGCCAAATTTAAATTTAACAATGTACAATAGAGCATTGATTATCCGACCCCCGATTAACTGTCACCTCAGTTAACCGACTGCGTTCTAGTCGGCAAATTCAAATGTCTGCTAGTGATGTGGAGCTACAATATTTGGCTATAGCTTGGCTACTTTAATATTATTTTTGTTAAATTTTTGCGTGTTTTAGCTGGCAATACTGGCTTGACCATAAGGGGAGGCCAGTATCTAAACGAGGCTTAATTTTCTAATTATGAGTGGTGGTTTGTTTTGTGAGCAATAAAATAATTTAAAAATAATTTTAACGATACAATAGCGACGACTATTACTTAAAAAAAAATTTTGTTAGGCTTACTGTCGATGAAAATTCAACGCGGAGTTGGTTAATAGCGATATACTACACTATAATATACTACACTAATAATGTGTTTTTTTATACTTTTCGGTTATCCAACTTTTCAATTATCTGACCAACCCCAGTCCCCAATTGAGTCAGATGATCGATGCTCTACTGTAATAATAATGTAAACAAATATCTTAAATTTATTTTATAAATATCTAAAGAAAATATAAGTAGCTCATATGACATTTTTGTCTGTGTTGCATTTCCAAGTACAGCCAATCCAATCCTAATGACATTTTTAAGTATTTGCAAGTAGATATCACAAAATTAAATGTTATATGCATCAACTTTATAACATGTTGCCAGATTTCTTTCAATTTAGTATACAGTGGAACCTTGCTTAACAAGCACCTTGCATAACAAGCAAAACAAATTGTAATTTGTTTTGCTTGTAAAAAAATTGTAAAAAAATGACTCGCTTAACAAGCAACGTTTTGCATAACAAGTGACGAGGAGAGGGAAATCCCAGATTGTGTGCATGCTCCATCAGTCTGTGTTTAGCACTGTTCCACTAGCAACTTAGTGTTGCTTGTGATCAAACGTTTTTCCAAACTTGTGTTCACACACATTACATATAAGCATCGACAACCATCGCCCGTTATATAATAAACACGCCAAACGATATATCAAATTCTTGGGCTGTGTAAAGACTATAATTAAATATTAGAAATTAATTAATTTGACTAGAGGTAGGCAGTTATGCTGCCATCTGGTATTAAATTTATTGATCAGATTCAAATTAAATTTTAAAAATGTCTAAATTAAAAATTAATTGTTTATAATTTTTAAATTTGATACGAGATGATAGCATAACTTCCTTCCTCTAGTCAAATAAATAATTTCTAATATTTAATTATAGCCTTTACACAGCCCAAGAATTTGGCATATTGTTTTGCATGTTTATCAAACATATTACCCGTGATTTTTTTTTCCTGCAAATCAAATTCACATTCCAGGTGGTTCATTCCACGCTATAAGAAAAGATGATAATGATTCATGCTCCTTAACAATGTATATTGTATAATTTTCTTTAAATAAACGTTATACATAAAATATTTGAGTATTTTTTGTGGCATGGAACACATTATCATATTTTACATTAATTTATATGGGAAAAACTGTTTTGCTTAACGAGTAAGATTCTGGAATGAATTATGCTTGTTAAGCGAGGTACCTCTGTATAGTTTAATGAAATAAAACACAATTTTTATGTGTGTCTTTGTTTGTGACATAGATCGACTGTGGCTACTTTTCGTTACGAACAAGAATTGAAAAAGAATGAAGGTCTGATGATGTCTCAATCCAACATTCAAACAAGTAATTTTTGAGGAGTTTTATTTATAACTTGAAAAAAATTATATTAGTATTTTTTAAGAAAATGATTATTTTAAATTTAGAAGATAAAGTAGAGAATGCCGGAATTCAAGTTAACAAATCGTTCATACTGGTGATTCTTTTGAGGTTGCAACAGTGTTGTTGTCATCTGAGTTTATTACAAAAGGTAAAAGATAGTCATTAAAATTTATAGCATTTATTATGTTGCCGAATTGATATGCTGTTATAAGTAATGGAATAGGAAATGATACCAACTTGTGAACTTTGTATTTGCATTAGTTTTTTAAAATATACTGTTTTTTTCTGCTTATAATTTAAATAAAAATCAATTCTTTCAGATAATATTTTTCAGTAGTGTGGAATTATTGATTGCGAATCCATAATTGCAAAAGCTTGATATGATGATAGTCGTCTTTGTTTATGATTAGTACATTTGAACAACTTATAATAACTGATGACTTCATTTAAATGGTTGTAGCAGAACCTGCTTATCTTAATTAGACTCGCCTATATTGATGACAATAACCAAACAACATTAAAACAAAACATGTATATGCATTTTGTTTTCTGTAGCAAATTTGTGCTTAATTTCAAAGAATATACAACCAAGAGAGAGAAACATGAGCAGTCCAAGTGCTGAAAAAACGTATAATTTGAAGATATGTTAATTATAATTAATAATTCCTCCAGTATATTAATTAAGCTACTATACTGTGAGCAAGTATTGATTAAAGACTGATAACAATTATGCATTATCAGTATATGTTGAGGCTAATAATGCAAAAACTTCTGCTTAAAAAATGGTAACGACAAATTTTGATTACAATAAGCAGTTTACAAATGTATTTTAACTGTTTTAGCATAAGCTAGTTCTGTTAACATTACTCGGCTGATGATAATATCCATAATTACAGTAAAATGTAATGTTAAAAATTAATAATACACAAATTAATATATTTTCTCTTATTCCATTAAATAAGGAAATTAAAGTAACTTCAAAAAAAAAAATTTTTTTTTTTCGTTATTGTTTGAGGATTATGGAAGAGACCAAACTTTTCTAGGTAGCTTTTTCGTAACAGTACAGATTTATTCATTCTGAAATCACCAAGATATTTTGTCTTTAAAGGTTGCCAAGTACGAAATATTTTGGACTGAAGATGAAAAAGAGGAGAAAATGTTTGAACAGATGGAAGCGTTGTCTCTAAACAATGTCAAAAAATCTATGGATTCCAAGGACATGCCATTACACAGTTTATTTTGTGGAATAAGCAACGATTTACCTCCTGACGTTTCATCAACCCAGAAACAAACTTTGGATGCCGACTTTAAACCAAATGCACCAAGTACAAAGGTAAAACTATTGCTATGAATTAAATAATTATCTCAAAAACTAGTTTGTAGATATATGTGAGTAATTTAACCAGATGGATGTATGAACAGTTGCATTATACATGTATTACCTTTAACTATTATTAACTTAATAGTTATTGCAGGTAGCTATATTTATATAATTGTGGCTGACAGTCTAGTGAAGACTGAAATGTATTCCACAAGTAAAACTCTTATTTTCTTGATGTGACTTTAATTACTTGGCTCCATTAGTTTGATAAAGCTCGTGTATCTGTACTGGTTTTTGAGATAATTATTTTATTTTATTTATTAGAGGAAAGAACCTTACAACTATTTATTTATTTATTGAGACAATTACATTTTGTAATAATATCAGGTTATCAAAATATTACAGAGTTTAATTGCAATTCCATTTAATTAATGATAGGTATTAGCAATACTAAGTGAATTAGAGAAGATAAGAAATAGAAGTGAAGATGGTGTAATGGAGAAATGGTATGTTATGTTTTTGACTAAATCATAATTAAGTCTAATAGATACATTAGAACTTTGGTTCAGTTTGTGTCAATGCAAAGTATGATGCTTGCAGTTTCAAATTCTTATTAAATCAGTTTTTAATCTAATACATTTTTATGGTGACTTATATGAGAATTGTATGTTTTTACATAAATGTGGATGTGTTTATTTTGATAACATAATATGAAATTTTAAGTGTGACTTTAACATATAACTTTTTAAGCGTATTGATTTCGCAATGGGTGTCCATGTTGGAAATCGTGGCGGAACACATCAACAAAGCAGGTTATCGATACAGTATGATTAAAGGAGATGTAAACGTAGAAGCAAGGACAAAAATAGTTGAAGAATTCAACAACGATCCCCAAGGAGCAGAAGTAAGGATGCATTGCCATAGCCGATAAGTAGTTAATTAGTATTTTGGTTAAAAGAATTTTTAGTAAATTAATTTTGTCGTCGTAGATACTGTTGTTGTCGCTTAAGGCCGGAGGAGTGGGTCTAAATCTGATCGGTGGAAACCATCTTTTCGTGTTGGACATTCACTGGTAAGTACAATGCCAGGTAGATAAATATTTTGCAACGTCTTTCTTATAAACATAGATTATTTGCGCTTAGGAATCCTGCTCTGGAGAACCAAGCCTGCGATCGCATCTATCGTCTCGGCCAAAAGAAGAAAGTCTTCATTCATAAGTGAGTGGAAGAAAACTAATTGTAGAACAAATATTTTTTATTTATTTAAATTTTTTAACACCTTTTCCTATAGGTTTGTATGCGAAAATACTATTGAAGAGAAGATCGTATCATTTCAAAAAAACAAAATGAATCTAGCAAATAACATATTAAGCACAAACAGCAAAAGTCAAATAACTCTAAAAGATTTTTATGAGTTACTTCAGATTTAATGCACGAGTCCAGTTAGTTTTTAACTTCTATAGAATGTTTTCTTGCATTCTGATGGAATTTATTTATCTAACCGAACATATCTGTGATACGTATCTGTTTTATATGACTGTGATAAATTATTTTTTTAATCCGAGTTTCTCGTTTCATCATTTTAACATGTATTTTTGGCACATTATACTAATCATAAGATCCATTATTTTAGTTTTTATTAGATGATGATTGCAATTTTTATTCTGTTCTTCTATTACTTCCTACATTTGCTTGGTTTGAGGAAAACCAAATTTTATAGATTAAAAGTATTTGCATCTTAATTTTTAGAATCTGAAAATTTTCCATTTTATGGGGCAGAAGTAATTTAGTTTCCAGTAGATTAATGACATATGATAAATTAATACACAAATTTTTATGTTGACACAGACACTGTTAAGTAACTGCATTGTGTAAGTCTAGATAATTTGAAGCCAGTGTATCTGGTATTTTGGAAATTAAACTCAAATACAGAAAGTAGATGTAGGTAATCAGTAACGATTGCTTTTTATACACAATCAAGTGTTCATATTCCAGCAAAACATTTAATTCTGAAAATCTGTATTCTCACTCAAGTTATTCCCCTAAATGTTTTCTGTGCCTGTTTTTAAGTATTTGCAAACTATATTCAATTAATGGAAATATATTTAAGTGTGTTCCTACATTAAAAATTCCAATTGTGTTTTATAATAACTAGTAACATTTTAGAACCACATTAATGAAAATACCACATTGAAATTTTATTACATAGTTAAAAACATGGTCTCGCCAGGGTATTCGGAGACATTAAGGCCGCGTCGCCGTCCCGTCATCGCCGAGCAAAGCGAACGCCAAATTTTTGGTGCATTAAATTTTGCCCTGTCATTTCGGACACCCGGGTGTGCAATTAGGGACACCGGGACACTATTGCAAAGTCTTCAAGTCAATGCAACGAGGGTACACTTAGTTCTTAACTTTGTCATAATGGCTTATATAGCTTAGACACATTATTGAGAAATTTATATTCCTCTATTAAACAATATATTGGTCAGTAAATTACAATAACAATCATAGAAGTTCCGGTAAGACTGGTTTGTATCGACTTATCCGATTTCGGTCAATTCCGACATAACGTCCCACAGGTAGAGTTAATTACAGTTACATTTCAATCTGCAAAATCATTTATTTTACAGGGCAGCCCAAAATCGGATGGCAGTTTAATCCTTACGAGTCGCCCTATACAAATTCTTCGTTGGATTGTATTTTGGATGCCGTCGGCGATTGCATTATCTTCAACCGAAGGGACTTTAAATATAGGGAAGATAATCGGTTATTGGGATTATTTGCGCAGAGAAGACAAGAATAAAATTATAATTTAAAGTTTTGCTAGCCGCCTCCAAAGGTACTAAAGGTCTGCGATTTTTTCCAAGAATGTCGCTTTTAATCCGAAAAAAGATCATACGAAATGACCTTTTTCTGTCTTAGGAAAGGAGGAGTGTACAACGAGTAAAAATTGCTGCGACATCATCACAATGCCGGGTTGCAATTTTTATTCGTATTTTTAATTTATTTAACTTAAAATATATATACTCTACCCCAAATTAGTAGTCTCTTGCCCCTGTACATCATACTTTCCTCATAACAACTCAGTTGTGTTGGTCATCTATCTACATTCTGGGGTAAGCATTATGACGTCATATAGTCTTCGGTCTTGCGAAGGACGTGACGTCTCGGTAATTAAATTAGATCCGTAACAGGAGAAGGCGTTGCCATCGCCGTTTTTTTTTTTTTTTTTGTTTTGTTCACTTTTCGGCGTGCCACGTGGTCGACAAAGTCGAATAAAGCTTAAGGACGTTGGAAAATGTTACTAATGCATAGCTTTTAACAGAGACGGCTTTTATATTATTAATATATCGGTTAATCGACTTTCGGGTTTTAAATAGGTGGTAACCGGGTTCGAAACCCGTCCGAGTCTTCGAACGGATGTCGGTCATTAATAACTTACGCGTAAATTTAAAAGGAAGGAGTAACTGCTCGTGAAAGTTACCTCCGCGACGAAAGACGGGGTGGTCCTAAAGTCAGTTAACGGCGTGACCTTCCCGATGCATTGGCGAAAACGAATCTCGAAATAGGTTAAACGACTTAGTTTTACATTAAGAGCGCAATTTATTGCTTAGTGTTTAATTGATTTGTGAGCTCCCCTATCGTAATTTCGACCTCTCGCGGTTACCTTTCGCCAACAGCCAGACACAATTAGATCGATAGAGTAATACTACTGTCGTGTGTGATTATTAATGAAAAATGCACTACTTTATTAATATTCATTTAATAATTACTCTATACTGTATATTCGACGCGTGTATAAAACGTGTCGAGTTAGTAAATAAACGGCGCTAATGCGCAAATATCCCTCGTGACGTCACGGAGGAGGAGGAAAAGGTTTCGGTTTTAAAGGATGGACGGAAGAATGGGGTCGGCGCGTAACACCAGAGGAAGATACAAATCCGAGAAAAGTGAGGAATTTTATTTATAAATCGAAAAAAGAACGAAGCGTGTCAATTAAGTTTTAATTTCTCAACCTCGATTTGTAATATTCTTTTGAAATTTTCTAAACAATAGTAAACACAAAACGATGTTAAAAATTAATCACTGTTAATATCTGATGATGATTAAGATATTTGGTAAAAGTTTACTTTTAATACATGACGCGCTTGTTTCCTAATTGCATAGAGTGGCTTGGTGACGACGACGGGTACTGTCGATACCGTGTGTTGGACAGAATTGCCACTTTAGGTAGGATCTATTTTACCAAATAATGATTAGTTAGTCGTGGCTTCTCACACAGATATTCATCTTTCTAGCATTTCATTATAATCATTCGACGACTTTTATAATTCGTAACGACAGAACCAATTTCTAATTATTCCGAATTTAATCTCTCTCTCGTAAACTCCGTTTCTGAAATCCTATAATATGTTTGGTATTTAAATTAAAGGATCGTGATCTATTTTTGGTACATTAAGGAAAATATCTTTACCAGTATCAAATAGGGGAAGTTTCTTAGCGGTATTGCCAACCATCTTTTCTGCCGCCCGTTTAACTCCTTTATGTACAGTACTTCTCTTTCAATTTGTATATTATGCTCGCGTTTTCATATAAACAAAATTACGTCTAAAGGTTAAACGAATAGAGATTGGTATTGCTGTTCTAAGGGAATAATTTATGTAGCCCAAACAGTAGGCAATGTGCCAAATGATTTTTACGCCTAACTAAAAGGGGCACGCCACTTGACTAAAAGGAAAATGGCGGACGTGTATTCAATTGTTTTTAAACCACGGCGTAGCTGTAGCCACTGTAGTATATTCTAGCTCGTTGCACCAATCGTATGACCACGAAACTGGCGCACCCCATTCAACCACCGATTACTAGGGATCTCCCAATACCATAAGTATCGATATCGTCCAGTATCGAAAATCTTGCCAAATATCGCTGTTCAGTTTGTCGCGTGGCCTTTCTGTTTTTACTGCCGAGGAGGTACTGTACTCATTATAATTAAGTCCGAGTAGCCCAGAGTAACAATTAGTATTTTTGCTTACTCCAGGGAATTGAATCCCGGCCACCTGGCTTGTTCTGAATTGAGGGCGTAAGTCAGTATTCAGTTTATACTCCTAGGTTGTCTTATGTACTACTGTACAGTACACAAAAGAAGTCCCGGATCTACAATCCCGCTAATGAGTTCTGTGGGTACTATTTTTTTCTTTTGCTTTTTAGTCCTGTGGACACTAAGAGGGCCTCTTATAGCAAGCCCGTTATGAGTTCGGCCAGGCCTACTATGAGACGGCGGGGGCCGACATATCCGGTCGGATGAACTCCCGAAAACTTTCTGGGGATTTTTTTTATCCCGGGTTCCCAGAGCGTATATATGTTTATAAAATCTTTAAATTTACCTCTAGACAAAAAGAAAACCTCTAAATCCAGAGGTAAAACCTCCAAAACGGTAACTCTTCCGCCACCTACGCGTCTAATTGCAGGTGTCGTCGTTAATTTACACGCATTTTAATTGTAATTTTATTTAAATACGTCTTTAAAATAATTGCACGTATTTCTATCGAATAATAATAATTTAACCAACGTTTTCAGTCGGCAGAAATTACGCAAAGTGCGGATGCAATAAAGACGAGTCATTGCCGATTCCCGGATCCGACGCACCCCCCGATCGGATATTCACCTTCCCCTTTCTTCGGGATTCGGCCACAGTCGACTACTTGAAGAAACACAACAGGATTATGTTCATTATAAGAGGGCCGTCGGGGACCGGCAAAGAAACGCTCTCTTCCATGATTGCTTCCTTGTATCCAGAGAGCGACGTCATCTCGGCTAAACTCTATTACAGTCTCCCATTGGCCGAGCGGAGGACGAGATTTAATGCCCGAAAGTCTCACGCCTGGTGCCGCAGAAGGTACGTTTCTGGTGTTTAGATTATATTGTAATTATCGTTAATTGTAATTAAATATTAATTTCGTACGACAGAGCGGAAGACGGATGTAAAGAGAACAAACCGATATTAATAATAAGGAATACGAATGTAAGAAGATGGGAAATTCAACCTTACCTTAAATTGGCCAAGGATTTTCAATACACCGTTATTTTTGCCGATTGTTCTAAGAAATTCTGTTTCGACCCCGAAGTAAGTCAACGCTTCAGAACCTGGTTTCTATGATTTTATATTAGAGAAGTTGCGGCCGAAGTTTTCATCTCTCAAACGTGAACGTCAAACGTCGAGCGCCGCTTACAAGATAGCGGCGCTCGACGTTCGACGTTCACGTTTGAGAGATGAAAACTTCGGCCGCAACCTCTCTATTACTTTCCCGTTCGTTATAGAATATAACACGAAGAAAGTGTGTCCGTCGGTCAAATTTTGACACTACAAGAGTCCAAAAATGCAGAAAAACCGCGTACAAAATTGTGTGTCGGCGCCTATTTTGCATCATATGTCGGGAGTGGGTGAGCCAAAAATAATGAAACTTGGCAGAGTTATATTTATGTGTGGGGCATTAATGTTTCAGGCACAGTTTGTACGCATCTTTAGGTGAGAATGCATTGTAACTACAAGGAGTTCGGTAGTAATTCCCTCGCAGATAGAATAATTTACGTTATAAAATAATAATTAAATCGGATGAATGCAATTTGATTTACGTAAAAAAGCGGCAATCATTTTCTCGTTTCTAGATACTGGCTAAATCGAATACACAAGGACTGGACGCCGAATATTTCGAAACCCGATTGAAACAATGGGAAGAAGTGATACCGTGGTATACGGGTTGGTTCCTCGGTCCCGCCGACGTTCGTTGGTTACGCGACAAATCCACAAACTTGCTAAAAGAAATTACCGCTGGAAAAAGCGCTTTGGGGATTTCTTCCGGTGAGTGTTAGATGTACAGTACATTTCCGTTTCCAAGATATTTCGAAATTGGCTGGGATCTCGCGCGGCAGAAAGCTAGTGTTCCGAACACCCTTCCTGTCAACGGGTGTTCGGAACACCTGGTTTTGGTTTCGGTTTAAAAAATGGATGGAAGAGAAGGGTCGGCCCGTAACACTACAGGGGGATACAAGATAAAGAGCGGGGAATCCCCTTCGAGGATTCCCCGCTCTTTATCGTCTTCCTTTTTTTAATACAGTTAATAATAAATAAATATTATAAGTATTAACTCNATTGAAAATAATTAATTGAACAAAAATTAAATTTTAAACTTATTCAAGTTATCTAATAAAAATATTTCTTTCTCATTAGATTCAAGAAGTTTACGGAAAGGGGTTTGAACTGAACATTACAGCATTCATTTTACACAAGAACATGCTTGTGGCCGCAGTTCGACTGACGTCAAAAGAACGGGAGATGTCTTACTACGGAAACAGTAGAGATCTAGAAGACACACTAGAAGACGCAATGGACAATTTGAGATTAATTAATTATAAATATCGTGTCTGTTGTTATTAAATATCATACTTCCTTTTAAGAATGAGTTTTTCTTAATTATTTTTCTACGTACATGTATATAATAGCCCAGTGAATCAATATTATTGTGATTCATCTTTGTGCGACATCTCCCATTTTCCAGATGTTTTCACTGTTTTCTAACACGACTTACAGATAGTCTTGGATCATTTTATTGCAAATACTACCATATTTTGCTTACCTTTTAATTCAATATTCTCTTAAATACTGTTTTGGGTTAAGTGGTGGTTTCCTGATTGACAATAAATTTTCCACAAAATGTGTTTAAAATATCTTCTAATTGGGGAATTCTATTCCCTGCAATAGCATTGTAGAAAAGTTTCCAGTACCTGCAACTTATTATGAAACAATTATTTAAAGAATTTGCTGTTGAATGTTTTCTTATCTGAGAATGCAAAAGATACATTATGCTCAGTTTTATAAATTAATATTGATAATCATTATATGAAAATGGAATATATATTCCATTTTCATATAATGATTAACATATAAGAGAGACTGATATTTCTTCTTTCTGCAACTTGTTACACTTAACACGAAGTCATTACTTTTGATGAGTTTCCTCCTCTATCTGATTTGTGGCCCTACTGTTTATCAACTTCTTTATTCTCGCCTGCATTTGAACTATGTTCATTCGTCTCGACCTCGATCTCCCTCTGCTTTCTTCTAATCTCCATGTTTATGACTTGTCTCCTGGATAACTTTTCCCTCTTCTTGTGACACGCTTGTACTATGTAGTCTTCCTTTTTTGACTCGCTTGTATTACCTGCTTATTTTTTAAACTTGTTATTCAAAATATCAAAAAAAAAATTGAAAATAATTAATTGAACAAAAATTAAATTTTAAACTTATTCAAGTTATCTAATAAAAATATTTCTTTCTCATTAGATTCAAGAAGTTTACGGAAAGGTGTTTGAACTGAACATTACAGCATTCATTTTACACAAGAACATGCTAGTGGCCGCAGTTCGACTGACGTCAAAAGAGCGGGAGATGTCTTATTACGGAAGCAGTAGAGATCTAGAAGACACACTAGAAGACGCAATGGACAATTTGAGATTAATTAATAATTATTCTCGTGTCGACACTAGAGACCGGCAAGTGGACGCTACAAACTCCAAAGAAACTTTTGAAGTTTTGGACCAGCCGGGCGGCAAGCGCAAGATCGAAGACTACGGCTTCATGTTGTTGGGGTGGGAAGACGAAAACCGCGGTTATCCCCTCTTTACGGAATTGAAAGACCCGAGAGATTTACGGGCCATTATGACGGCATTGTCGAAAAACAACGTGGAGAAGAGCGTAACTGTAGACGGAATGAACGCTCACAAAATACAAAATTCCATAGTAATCGAAGCAAACCAATGCTTCAGATGCAAAAGCGTCTTCACTGGTTTGTATTAAGTAAAGTTTAAATTTTTCAGAATATAGAACATTTTTATCGTGTGTTAGGGAAACACGCTAAGAATACAATCACAAAAAAGCTTTAATAATGCCATATATTTTCTGATAACTTATGTAGAATTTATTCTAAAATTTTTATTGATGATTTAGTAAAGACATGTACTTTGTCTGTTTTAATGTCGTTAGAGATTTTCCAAAACTGTTGAACAAGATTTAACAATTTGTAAATGATAAGAAATGAAATGCTTTGTTAATCTCAAGCTTTAAGATTTAGAATAAGGCTAAAAATTTATTACATAGAATTTTGTTTTATAAACAGAAACATACAGGTTTTATGACGATTTATTTTAATCGTCATAAAACCTTCTGTACATTTCTGTTGTGTAGAAAACTGATTTGTAGATCTTCTTTTGGATCTACAAATCAGTTTTCTACACACTTTTACTTGAAACTGCTCTTTTTTGGATAGATCTTTGATAAGACCACAATTTTTTTTTCTTTTAATTAAATGAATTATAGACGTGATAGATCCATCTTGGGTTTGGCCAGACCCACAATGGGGCAGTCCAAGTGGCCCTACCTATCAGATGTCCCCCCGTAAAAAATTGCCGTGGTTGCTCATCCAGATTCTGTCCCATCCCCAGAGCATAACCATTTGACTGGAAGGTGCAGAACTCTAAGTTTACTGTCGGCAATGAATACAATATGGTGTCTAGGTATAAAATACAACTTTGAGGAGGATGCAGATTACACGCGACTTAACCAAACAACTATATTAATCCTTAATTATAAATCATTTTTTTATTAATTTTTTGATGATAAAGTTATTGCTAAATATTATTTTCACTCCTTTAATTTTATAAATATAAATATAATAATATAATTATATAAATATTGTTTCTCTTATAGAACTCGCTATTCAATCAATTGCATGTAATTTTAACATTATAACCTATATAATAACCTAGTCATTATAGACTAACAGTTGTATTTGAAATATGCAATTTGAAAAACTTGTAGACCTATAAATTCCGCTGTCTTTCCTTAATCTGGAGAACCGAGTTTAATAGATGAAAGACGAGACCGGGTATGGAATTTTTACAGGTTATTTCTAGAATTTAATATATTAAATTTTTGCATTGTGTTTTAAAGTTTTCAGAAAATAGTTACTCGTGAATAACTTTGTATTTCGGTCGTTGCCCGTTAAAGAATAAAGTGTTTATAATATGGATTTACCGTGTCCGATTTCCTCGTTGGCGATTAATAGAAATACATTTTATTAATCCTACTTTATTTGCGTCGCGATCTAATTAAAGCCGCTTCTATACGAAATNCTGTTTTAATGTCGTTAGAGATTTTCCAAAACTGTTGAACAAGATTTAACAATTTGTAAATGATAAGAAATGAAATGCTTTGTTAATCTCAAGCTTTAAGATTTAGAATAAGGCTAAAAATTTATTACATAGAATTTTGTTTTATAAACAGAAACATACAGGTTTTATGACGATTTATTTTAATCGTCATAAAACCTTCTGTACATTTCTGTTGTGTAGAAAACTGATTTGTAGATCTTCTTTTGGATCTACAAATCAGTTTTCTACACACTTTTACTTGAAACTGCTCTTTTTTGGATAGATCTTTGATAAGACCACAATTTTTTTTTCTTTTAATTAAATGAATTATAGACGTGATAGATCCATCTTGGGTTTGGCCAGACCCACAATGGGGCAGTCCAAGTGGCCCTACCTATCAGATGTCCCCCCGTAAAAAATTGCCGTGGTTGCTCATCCAGATTCTGTCCCATCCCCAGAGCATAACCATTTGACTGGAAGGTGCAGAACTCTAAGTTTACTGTCGGCAATGAATACAATATGGTGTCTAGGTATAAAATACAACTTTGAGGAGGATGCAGATTACACGCGACTTAACCAAACAACTATATTAATCCTTAATTATAAATCATTTTTTTATTAATTTTTTGATGATAAAGTTATTGCTAAATATTATTTTCACTCCTTTAATTTTATAAATATAAATATAATAATATAATTATATAAATATTGTTTCTCTTATAGAACTCGCTATTCAATCAATTGCATGTAATTTTAACATTATAACCTATATAATAACCTAGTCATTATAGACTAACAGTTGTATTTGAAATATGCAATTTGAAAAACTTGTAGACCTATAAATTCCGCTGTCTTTCCTTAATCTGGAGAACCGAGTTTAATAGATGAAAGACGAGACCGGGTATGGAATTTTTACAGGTTATTTCTAGAATTTAATATATTAAATTTTTGCATTGTGTTTTAAAGTTTTCAGAAAATAGTTACTCGTGAATAACTTTGTATTTCGGTCGTTGCCCGTTAAAGAATAAAGTGTTTATAATATGGATTTACCGTGTCCGATTTCCTCGTTGGCGATTAATAGAAATACATTTTATTAATCCTACTTTATTTGCGTCGCGATCTAATTAAAGCCGCTCCTATACGAAATAGACTCGTAAAGTGACTGGCATATTTCTTCTAATTCGTAAATTATTGACGGAGGACGGTTATTTATAACGATTACGTTTTTATCCTTCGACTTTGGGGGCAACGCTTAAAATATTATCGGGAGGGCCGAAGGGGTTCCGTTTGCGTTTAGTGGTCGAGAAGAATGCGGTGCGAGGTCGATAGAAAAGTTTCCTAAGAATATTTCCAAGCCTTTCTCACACCAGGGAAAAGGGGTTGGGGGAGTTGGGTATAACTTTATGAAACAAAGGGGGCGGCGGGTGGAAAAAGTTTGGGAGTCGCTGGACTAAAGTAATCAAACAATAGAATAACCCGTTTCGTTTGAAACGGACTAAGCTATTGGTTCGCTTATGGAACTGCTGGCCAATTTGGAAACACTCGGTGACGTCAGAGAAATGATTTTCTTTCCGGTACGTTTTGCTTTCGTTTCATAAGTTGGCTTCTACAGACGCTCTATCGACCGTTATCGCTTTTGCTACGAAAAGAGGTAAGTTTGTTTAATTAAATTTCAATTTCCAGGCTAGAAATTGTTTACGTACGAACTTAAACATGTAAAAATATTAATATTTACGTTAATATAAACGGATTTAGAATAAATTAATTGCCGTTTACATTGTTATCGTTTATAAAAAATGATTAGGAAACCGATCGAAAATTCATTTGTATTTTAATTTAATACTAATAATAGAAAAATGGTAATAAGTGTTAATGAATTGTTTAATTTAAAATAATTTTGAAACTAACGTAATCGATTGGGTTTCGGTTTTGGTTTTGGATTGGGTTTCGGTTTCGTGATAGCGCGCCATTTGTATTAAATTTGCATCGTCGGCGTGACGTAACGTATTCGGTTTTAAAACTGAAAATTTAACCCAAAGATCGAAAAATTTCATTTATAAGGTTCGGAGGTGTGCGTTTTTTTAATGAAAATTTAAAATATGACGTAAAACTGACGTATTTCGACTACAGTACCTATGTTATCGGAGTAGTGACACGAGTCAACTGTTATCACGTGAGTCTGAGTTAACATTAAGAAATGACGATTATTTCGGTAAAAGTCCATCCCTTCTACATGGGGCGTTTTTTTCTAATTTTGCTCTCTTAAGACACCTCTCAAATAGATGTGTCCTAAACACATATAAATTTTTGGGGGCGACGTGTGTAATAAGAGCTATAAGCGAAAATTTATCGGATTACTTACCGACTCTGCACGGTGAAAGCCGCCATTGCTTAAATTTGTTTTCGTCGTGGAGCGGCACATTGTACGGCGGACGCGTACGAAGACTGTCACGTGTACGTATACATAATATAGTATAGTATGTATTTTGTAGTTAGAAATGTCTTATTATTATGTTACTGGTCATATTAAATGAGTTAATAACAATAGGCTAATATGTTGAATTTTACCAATTTATGTTTGTGCACCGTCATGGCGGTGGTCGCGATTATTCGTACTCCCAACAGACTCCTCCCGGAGGGGAGCCGCTGGCAGGCCGTCAACTGTTTAACGTACCTTAATTTGTTATTTCACTACGTAAAACTTTTAACACCGAGACTATTATATCGAAGTACAGTACTTTAATATAATAATCAACTAAATAAAAATTATCATATATGTATCTATATTGCATTATTGTACGATAAAGGTTAATGTTACCTATGGTTCCAAAATGGCGGCCGACTGTTCGTGGTCCAGACGGACTCCTCCCGAGAGGGAAGCCGCCGAGTGCCAAACGTCACTAGTTATTGATTCACGGTAGTTCTTGAACGAACTAAATAAATAAATAAAAAGGAAACGTCTACTAAAAATGTAGTTAATATAACGGAAACGAAACGAACCTAACCGAAGCACCGCCATTTTGGAACCATATGTAACATTAACCATGATAAAAAGTAATTTAAAAAAATTTTTTACAAGCCTTCTATATATTCATAATAATTACATAAGTTCATAATAATAAAGCGTATCGAGATCAAAAGGCTATGCGGATAAAATAAAAAAATTTATTAAATGAACAATACACTTTTAATTTGTAACAGCTCCACATCTTTTTACATCAATATTCAAACTAGTGCTGGTGAATATGGGGATAGAGTATGGCTAATTTTGTAGCTTGCTTGTGGATTTACTTTTGTATGGATTTGTTAAATTTTTCCAAATAAGATTTTCTTATATCAATGTTTTGATTTTTCACCACCTTATAATATCGGTGGAAAATATCTTCAAAACATATCAAAAGTTTTATTATTACAAAAAAAAACACGAAATTTTTTTTAAACTTTTAACTTCAACTAATTTATATTGATATATATAACCCATTCAACGGGTAACTGTCTGTCCGCGTAACCGATGCCAAAAACGGTCACTAGAGGCGCCCTAGCGAAGATTTTAAATTAACAATACAAATGAACACATACGCTAACAAGAAATATGGCGGTTTCCAGCCATATTTCTTGTTAGCGTATGTGTTCACTTTCGAATTGGACAAGTAAGCACGAATACACGTGCTAATGACGTCACATCCGGTTATCAGAATTAGCACTGCTAACTCAGACTGGCGTCTAATTACAGAACGATTCCGTAACCATAGTTCTGTTTTTTACCACGAGATGTCGCTACTTTGTGACGTCAAGAAGCTGGACAAGCATAATTCTGACTGTGTTGTAAATACACTACAGTCAGAATTAATTTATTACGAACAAAATTTGCTACTGTTCGTTTGTTGAACGTCAAATTTCTTTTGTCTAATGTTCAATGTTTATATTATAGCTTTAAAAGATGATTATTGTTTATTATTTTTATCAAAATATTTAAAATTATACAGTATTTTATAAAAGTTATTCTACAGAATATGTAGACTTTCGTTCTTAAATTCTTTTAATCTCAAGATTTTCCTGCTGAATTTTCAATCTCTTACTCGAATTTTTTTTTTTTTTATTATTTAATAAAATTATTCATTGCGTTTTAGAAATAATTTAAACGTTTTATATTAGAAAATTTGCAATACAGTATTTTATTTCACAATTAACGTTTATCTTTGAAATGTTCCACAAAACCAAACTCAATTTTCTGCATAGGCATCCTTATTTGGTTTTCACGAAATTTTAAACAACCTAACCCTAGCGAATACCAAGAGTTAAGTGTATCTTGTGTAATTTGAGTAAAGTCTTTTGAATTGGTAGTTTAAATCCATCAACAAATTATCATCGTCACTAAAATATTAGTGAACTTTTTGTAGCCTGATTTAACAGATCTGCAATGATTCATTTGAACGTTAGCTAAGAAAAAATGCCACAGTATTCATAAGAAAGATGTTTTCTTTATGAAAAAGATTTATTGAAAATTATACATTTGCAACATTTTCATATGCACAATCTGTTATTGAATGTTTTCCTTTTGTAAGTACAGTACATTTCTGAACTGAGCGTAGTCATGATCCCATGTGCCAGAGCCGCACGAGTAGAATTTATAAATTCCATGAATTTTTAGACAGTACGACACAATTAACTTTAGTTGGTTCTCAACTTATCTGTGACTTTCCATTCGTAGAAATCTGTCAAATACAGTACATAATATTTTTAATTACAGTACTACTGAATGAGCTGTTAATATTCATGAAAACAATTATTTTAAGATATATTAATTAAATACAGCATTTTTAAATTTCAGAACAGAATTTACTTACCCTTCATAGTTTTGAATTCCAGCTTCTCAATTTCACAGGCAAATTTATGTACTATACAGGTACAGTACTTTCTCCAGATGTTCACGTAATTGAAGGAAAGTAGAAAATCCTTCAGAACATGAAGTCTTCCGACAGAATATAGACTTTTCCTCCACCAGGATTTGCTTATCTTCTAAATCTACATGCTTGTTAGTAAGATTTCCTTTTGAGGAGAAGTGCTTATCGCAATAACAATAAGTATTTTCTAATATATCCAACGCAATATTTTCCATAACGATTTCTTAGCAACGTAGCGGGAATACTTCAAAACCAATTATCGATGATAAAGTATGGTTTTAAAGCTAAAATATCGACAAAAAATTTCAAGCACACCGTACAGTATGAGGTATACGCTATCTGAACGTCACGAGACTAGCGGCATCTCGTGGTAAAAACCAGAACTACGGCTACGGAATCGTTCTGTAATTAGACGCCAGTTAACTCAGAAGTAAACGCACCCTCACAGTGAACGTCGCGCATTGGCTCACGGGAAATTTGTTGAAAAAATGGCGGATACATTTAAAATCGAGGTTTACGAGTGAAGGTAAATAAACAAATTAAACTATTTTAAAGTATTTATAGAATGTTTAATAGATAGAAATATAGATCCGTATGATGCTATTGGGACGGTAAGATTTACCCTCCGAATGAAGGGGGTGGCGACCCGGCAACTTGTGCTGTTTAGGGGGTACGGCTGTTTGAAAGGTTTTCTTCCATAAAATTAATCGATTTTAGACTAATTTGACTCAAATATTTCCAAAAGAAGTATAATTTTTTGGGAATAAACCATATAAAATGTGTTATAAACAAAAAATTGTCGGAATACTTACCGAGTTCGAAGACGCCATTGCTTAACCTTGTTTTCGTCGCGGATCAGCACATCGGCGTACGAAGCTGTCACGCGACATTTGTCGGTGCTATTCGGTCACGTGAGTACTCATCTCCGACGAGTTTTCTGATAACTTACTCTTTTTGCGAAGAATTCGCTGAACTTTGGATTTATAAGATATTTTATATGGGTTATTCCCAAAAATTATACGTGTTTTGGAAATGTTCGAGTCAAATTAGTCTAAAATCGATTAATTTTATGGAAGAAAACCTTTCAAACAGCCGTACCCCCTAAACTGCACAAGTGCCTCCCGAGATATAGCCCTCCGAAAATTATTCTACGGGTCATGTGACCGCCTGTTTGCCACAATTTACCCCGCGAATGAGCGGGTGGGCGAGCGCGCGTTAATTTTTTTTCGCGCGGTAGGCTCCCTTTTGACCACGATGTCACGTGACCATAAATGACGTAGGCGAATTTTCACGGGGGCTGCGTTTCTTTATGTAACGAGAGTTCAGCGTAAATGACGTCACGAGCAGCTATCGCTACACGTCGCTGCATCATAGTTTAGAAACGCTTTCCGCTCGAGCGAAACACGGACGTCATAATCTATTCTTTAATTCCAGTTACAGCCGAAAATAGTGCTTTAGTTAAAGAACTACAATATTTAAATAAAGAGATATAAAGAATCGAGCATTTATCTTTCCATAAATGTGAACAAAGTAAAGAGATAAAAGATATATAATTATATTTAAAATATAGTATTTTCTTATTCTTTAGATAACTTTCAGAGTCATTTCATAAAATTTAATCCTTCTTAATCTTTCCATAATATTTTTATCAACAGTCACTTCGACTTTTTTATTTTTACAGCATAATATCGTAATATACACACAAGCGTCCATTTTGCTTTACACGTGTAGCGGAGGTAAAAGCTGC